CTACACTGGAAAATTCAGATGAAATGATATTGTTAAAAACAAAAACGGGAAATACATAATCATATGATCGCATTTTTCATAAAACGTATGGGACCGCAAGCATTGACCGAACGTGGTATTCATGCTCGAAATACAATCCAATTTCCAGTATCATTAGTGTATATGGATAGTCAGAACAAAACAAAACATGGCAATTACTGTAGATAGAGATGTTACGTCGGATATCATATTTCACATCGTGAATGAGGCTACAACTAGTATAAGTCTTGAACGCTGCACGAGTTTGATCAATCACCCGTACATAGTTCTCCTTCCTCACCACAATACTTTCTTCCCCTTAAACCACTACTATCCCATTGGCTGCGAACTAGATCGTGATATTTGTCAACCGAGTCAAAGCACCACAGGCTTTCTCCTGGACATGCAACCCAGATCAACTTATGGATGAAAACCCGCGATTCCGTTGTTTGAGAAAGTCCCCACTGTATTTTGGCCCGACATCGGACTCGCGGATCAGTTCCGGTGAGTTTTTTATTGCGCCTGTAAGAGTGGGATTACACATTGTACCGATCTATTGAATCTAGTAGTTATGCAACTAATAGACAGTGCCTATACTTTTGGTACACATCTGAATGCAGTCAGTTGTAGTAAGCACAATATTGTTCTCTGTGGGATAGCGCAAATCACCAGGATTACTGACTAGCGTATTGACCGCAATTGAAAGTAAGGAAGCATCGTGTAAAAATAAAGATAGTTGTCTCCAAATATACTNCTAATAAGTGTTCACCTATGTGCTGCGATGACACTCCCTGTTCATGACAATACAAAGTATCTCATTGACTTTGATTGCCCAGTTTCTATTGGTCATCTGAAAGGTGCAAAACATGCGTCTCGATTGATGCTGTTTTGCTATTGTTACAGTAATTAGAAAGCAAGAACACAAAGGTTCTGGTCGTTGTAATTGGTTCGATTCAGCTAGTACTCACATTACTTGGAGAAAGATGATTAAAATTGTATAATGTATTGTGACTTGTTGTATGAATTGTCCTTGTGCTTGCTGACAGGCAGTAGCACGAGCAAACATGTGTGGTTGGTCACTCCTGGTCCCACAGTTTAAGATACCAGTTTTGAGTCAGTACTATATCAACTTGACTTTCAACGTTATCTCTTTCACTGTTCATCAGGCCAGTTCTTACATGTGAGGATGAAAAATGACTCATCATAGCGTTATGGATGCATAAAAAGTGATTGACGCCTTAGTTTCTATGATACAATTGTGTGACGGACAACAGACGTGCTGGACCACATATTCAAGAATACCTGCTGTTCAGTGTTGAAAACAGGCAGCATATGCCATGGAATAGCCAACCACACAATACCCCGCTGGGTGAGACATGGCACTGAACCAGACGACAGCAAAACTGCTTTGACTGTCGAAGATCGACACATTTTATCGCTAGATACTATTACATCGGTCTTCATTAATGTTACGATATACGAGGTTATTGACTATTGACATGGTTATATCGAAAACAACGAGGCACGCATAGGGCTAACGCCGGATGACGAGAACCAAGTATTGTGTATACCTCCCTTCCTTTCATTGAATAGTTCGTTTTGCAGGCCATTGTCAAGAACAGAGAAACGGATAATCAAAGATATGAGAAAAGTGAGGCAGTGGTGATGCGCTTCCAAAAAACACAAACTTCAGTGGACGGCGGCGGGGGGGGGAGATGTAAACTGGTGACGCAACTCCATACCAGAAGCGTATCCCACAGTTAGTAGTTAGTGCACCTAGAATATCATTGTGACGAATAGATGGTGTTGATTTTGATTAACTCGGGCAGACAACAAGTACTTTAACACTGCCCTACTGTCATAATGACGCAAAGCCATAATCTCATGACCACGTAATTGATCAATTTCGCTTTTGAAAGCTTTTTGAATAGCATGTTCATCAGTTAGATGACGAGGTTTGGGGTGTAATACATAAACACCCAACGAAAATAACATCAAACCAAGTACAACTGCGCTTCATGCACACAGAAAGTGAATCTTCCATAGTCCCAACTGGTACATCTATCAATCAAGCTAACGAATGTTTCAGAAACCTAACCGTCGCTCCGTCTTTCCGGACATTCACCTGAAAAAACTTCTAATTTCTTCCATCATTCGAATAAATTTGTCGTAACATAAACAGTACACGAAATTTCATAGCAACTGCATCAGAAGAGTAGATTATTATTTTGTCACCTACAATGAACAAAACACAGCTGTTCAGAATAAAATTTAAAATAACAATTCATTTGAACTGAAGAAAAGGAAACCTGACTGGAAAATGGTTATTTTAAGACGTTCATCGGGCGCAACCAAAGTAGACAAGAGAGTGCAGTGAAAATATCCCAGGTGAAGAAAAGCATGCCGTTGACTATGCATCCTTTAAAAAATGTCAAGACAGAAAAAATATGTGGTCAGTCAGTCGGTTAAGAGAATCTGGACAGTAATCTCGAGGTCCTGAGTTCGAATCCCGTCATCCTATCTCAATATTTTCCCAGGTAATCTTCAGTTACCTGTAACCGGTTAATAGTTTACAACTTATGCTAGTAGTTTCCGTTGCACTGAAACCCATTGCTACTACTGTTAAACTAAGACCAGTGTTCTCTAGATGACCAAACATTGCGGAGCAGAGGAATAAACACAATCCAAGTTGGGTGGCTCACACTGTGGGAGTGGAACTCTGTCATATCCGACTACTACGTTTTTTGATACAAACGGGGTAGTCACGTGACATGCACCGAGCGCACAACACGTCTATAACATTTCAGAGAATAGTCGCCGGGAAAGCGAACAAAAACGATGTCATGAATATTGAAATTTGCACGCCATAAAAGCTACTTGAAGCGGTCAACAACAACAACAACAGTTGATAGTTCCTTGTGATTACGTAATGCGACTATTCCACCTGTATGTGCCCGAGATTTAAGCACACCCCAACGACATGACTAACCACTTTTTTTCTTCCCTTGTCTAAAATAAAAAAGGATTATTTATGTGCTTTAGAGTGAATTCAACCAAAACATATATCCTCACACAATGTGTGTTCTAGCATTGCTGATTTGCAGTTGTTGTGAAACTCTTGTTCACACAGAAACCAATCTCCGACTGAACAAGATAGCAATGCAAGACCCGAGCTCGATTATTGACGGTCGACATACATTGTTCGAGGTGTATGAGAAATGGAGTATATCCGCCTATTCACCACCGTGTCCAAAAGTGCGTCGATTCTGTGACGACACGGTTGGTTTGCCAAAAACAGAGAAAGCAATGGAATGGCAACGACATTTCAATTTCCGCTATCCCCGTGCCGTGATTCGTATCCTTCTACCATCCATTTTGGAAGAANTTGGAAGAACCACCAAAGATGAATCTGACCCGTAAACGTAGAGCCGTGCGGCTTGAACCCGGAGACAAAGCGGTCGCAGGAAGACAAGTCACGCTACCATATTTAGAACAGATGCCCGAATTCGAGTTCCAAATCAGTGTGCTGGAGAAAACTGTTCGGTCTCGTAAGTTTCACTCGATCGCATTTGGTTTTTCTCCTCTCATTGTACTCCTAATCTCGTTAGATAAGCTTTGTCAGCAACAAGCAGACCACTGGTGCTCATGTAACCCTCCCGATCAGGTGGTCAGTCGGTTATAAAAAGCGATGGGTCTCACTCGTTCAAAACGGTTTCGATATTGGGCAGCACAAGATGTATCTTACTCGATTTGGCTACACAACAGACAAGCGGAACAGTGCAGCGAGGAAAATATTTGGTACATAGAGCAATCCAGGGATCGTTTGATCATTTCACTATCATCGACGCATGCGTCCACACACTCACGTGGCCACGTAGAAGATCAATATTGAGGTGTCCCCCACGAGCCTATTCTTACTGGTACGGTGATAAACCTCCTTTGGTTTTGCGACATCAGTCGAAGAGCTGATTGTTCAATCACTGATCGATCTACAAATGCCCGCGTTTCACCATCGGCTGAGTTGACCAAATCAAATAAATACTAGCGAACAACAGAGATGATGATGATAATGACATGAATAAGGATGATGACTCGGATGGTGATGACGATGGTGAAACATTCGTAATCTAGTCACCGAACTCAGCGAACAGATAGGCATCCGGTTTCAAAACCTGGGCTACAACAACGAACTGAATTCGGTTAGGACAGCCTCTATAAAGAAGCATCACCGTAAGGATCACGCGTGACTTCGAACATTCATCACCCGTTTGATGTCGCGTTGTAGTTTGCTATTGTTTTTGTTACAAAATGTTCTGGTGAGAAGTTGATCGGTCATCGAAAACCTAGTATTCTTTCAGGGTTATCAAATTCGGCCCATAAGAAAGAATTATTTGTGTCGTCATCGATCGATAAATCAATTTCATTAAGCTTCTATCCTTACGATGGGAGAAATTTATCAAATCAGTGAGAACATTGGTTACCATGAGTTGCGTTCTTTTTATGAATGGTCACCACAAACACTGTTGCGTTTGTGTTATTAACTTGTGACTAATGTAATATATGACTGATGGGATTTTTCATGGATCTATGTATTTGAGATTTCTTCTCCTAATGTAGCTAGACCACTGTCTTTAATCAAATGTATTCCGATCTGCGAGGGAAATAAGAGTGATTATGTACGATAGTGGCCGAATCGTCATTTATCAGTCAAATATATTTACAGAAGCTCTCACAAACGATTCAAATCCATGACTAGAAAGTATCGAGTCCAAAGAATTATCACAGGGTTCAAGTATTGGTTAGCCCTGTAGTGGTTCTTGTCCAACAGAGCAGCAAAATCTCCCAATCCCTCACAGTTCAATGGCATTCCGAATGTTGCTTCGAAACTGCGTTGTATTATAGTTTACTTATTTGATTTTTCAATGCTCCTCATCATCAATGTACTACAGTGTTCTAAGCGAATAAGGTTCGTCTCACTGGCAATCTGTGATAATTCCTGTGTTGATCAAAACTGGACGTGAAGCATCGGATTTATCTCGGATCTGCTCCCCGGGGGCAGGTAGTGCTCCATATTTTTTGTGGTTTGAGCTAGTGAGATGGATAGGGAGCACGAAGAAAGATTACTCGTTTGAGTAGGATACTACTGTTTCACGGTTGATCTCTCACGTTCTGGCACAAAACTTGAGCAAATAAAAAAACGGGACGAACAATGGTAAATGCACTCCACAAGCCGCATGCATGAGTACATCTAATCACGTGACTATTTTCATCCGCAGGCCCCAATCCGTGCAGTGAGAATTGGGTGGCATGTGACCGTGAAACATGTATTCCGCAACGAATGTGGTGTGATGGCATTTCCAATTGTCCGCAAAGACAAGATGAGGGTCAACACTGTACAGCTGCATGTGAGTCAGTCCCCCCCCCCCACCGCGTTCACTTTATCATGGTTTGTGTGAATGAATGAAATCAATTATGGTCAATTAACCAATCTCAAATGCATTTCAAATCTGGCTAATAGATTCCCACGGGGGACAAGGGTAAATAGCGCTGCAACTCAACACAGTGACGACTGGTTGCCGTTAGACCCCTTTGTAATGCAAAAACACACTAAAACATCGAAGAACTTCAAGGTTTGTAGGGCTTCTTGTATACATAAGACCACATGATTGGTAGAACAATGTGCAAAAAGCAATACACAAAGCCACTGAAGTTCTCTCGAAAGAAGCTTCGCAAATGCACCTCGGATTGTATTACCTTCGAACCTTAATGTTTGATGATCGTTCTCATGGAAATGGAATAGAACTGTGTTGATGATTGGCCATACCTGATGCTAATTACGATCAACTTGAGAAAAGACAGCGCTCGAATCCAGTACGCACGAATTCATTCGTCGTTCATGGACACTGCGGAGAAAACTAAGATCGAAACCGAATTACTAGTGCACATTTTCAATATTCCTTTACATCAAGATTAGAGATACAATCAGGCTGAATAATGTGCCGATCGCGTTGATAAATGAAGATTTATCTGTTCGGTTCAGATAATCAAATTGAAGTTTTAACTGTGAGTTTTATCGTAGAAATGATTCCAGTCAACATTACAGATGGTTAAGAGTCGCTTCAACAAAAGCAATTATTCAAGAGGACCTTTGTGTAGTTCATGACCTGGAGCAGGTCCATTGTTCTGTTGAGAACTCTTTCTGTTCGCATTGCTTTTCCGAACAGCTTTCGTGCACTAGTGCCGACAAACTAAGTTTCCATTGGATACTGAAAATCTTGAATTTCTTATTTTTTCACTCTAACTGAAATGAGAGATCAATGTTGTTGTTGTTTTTTTTTGTTCAGCCTGGGTGCTCCATAATCTCACTCATAAGATATTGTCCTCCTGGGGCATTATTAGTACCAATTTTTGAACAATCTACCGATTATTGAAGTCTCTAATATCCAATAGAGGTCACTAGGGATAGGGGTACTTGGAAACCATCTGAAGGCACTACGTCGAAGTTTGCTCTGTGCAACTATGATGTTTAAATTATTATTGTTATTATTATTATTGCTGTTATTATTATGCAAAGGTGTAACAAAGAAACTTCGCAGAAGAAAAAGGTTTAAATGGATTTCGCCAAAACGTTCAATTATATAATAATGATAATTTTCAGTAAAGCCAACAATCGCTAAGATATTGCACGATTAAGCAAGAGATTAATAGTTTCAAACAATTTGCATGGCAGACTGTAGTACCAGTTTAATCTACCCGGGTACGTCGGCTTGAGAATGGTCATCCCTCTCTTTTCGGGGCCCAATCAGCTTTATTGAGCTTCTCATCTGTGTATTTTCCTTCCAACAACCGTCTTTATGCGAAAAATTTAGCAGGTCCCATACAGAAAACATTAGGACCTTTTTTCGGGTATCGGTCCTCGTGTAACCAGTTCGTTTGGTATCCCCATTATTTCTGTTCCCTATGCAACTGCCTCTGGGCAAAATGTGATAGAATTGGACTGAACGTGACTTCGCGCGACCAACATGCTTCGGGTGATCGGAATTTTATCTTAGTGTGTTACGCATACAAGACGGAATTCTGCTATCGAATTCCCGCGTGATCCCCAACAAGATCAACACTGAGTCACACAATATGATTTCCGTATTGGATTACCAAGATAAGTTTAAAAAGAGGTCTTAAAAACTATTAAGGCATTTGCCACGCCATTAAGTGATGATGATGAATTCCAATGTTTGTTCTTTATTCACCCTGTGGTGTTCTGAGAATGAACTAACGGGCGGTATACTGTTTTGCGCTGAAAGATCTCCGGAGTGCTGTACATCCGGATACTGGAGACGTGTATAAACGAAAAACAAGGCATATGCGGCATAAATTATGGTGATGCCAGAGTGCCTACTGAATTCTGTTTCAGTAGGTAATATAGAAGAGTTGATTGAAATGACGTTTCCTCGGAATCAGAACGCCCCTTCACAGACAGCCAACTTACATTTCCCTGAAATGAGGCTTGTATTACACATCACTGACAGTATGTATGCCGGTGAAGTGGTTAACAGTCCACCGAGCAAACTTGAAATAATCCTTTCAATTTAGAGATTCCGGTTCTAGCGCAGACAGCGGAGAGTACAATATTGTTTTTTATAACGATATTGTATCCATGATCAACGATAGCATTCACTATTCATGTTTCTTCCGCTCTAATTGTGCAACTAGCCTTGGACCCGAACGCCATAGGACCGGATGGCAGACGTATAGCTGATCAAGGCAAAAGTAGCTACGAGCTTCGTAAGGAACAAGAGGCGCGAGAGGCAGAAGCGGCTCGATTGGCTGCACAGAAGTTGCACTTATCCATTCTCGGCAGCCTTGGTTTGCTATTGACCATTGTGACGGTTACCTGTGTGGGTGAGTTGCAAAAATTTCATAATTAGGCATTTCTTTCCCCTTTGGGGAAGCAGATTTCCCTGCACCGGGGTGGGGAGTAAGCAGATCAGTTATCGTTTCCGAGACGGAATTATATTGTACAGTGATAGATAGATATTTAGTGTGAATGAGAGTGTGTATGTGGAGATCCCTAGCACTTTAATTTATATTCACTCGCCTTGGACGGTTATGGTATGTGGAGATAGTACTTTACTCACTAAAACATGTGAATGCTCCACCTTCTCCTCGCCTCCCCTCCCCCCCCCAAAAAAAAAAATTAAAGTTAATATTTTCATTCATTCAGGCAAGAATACAAAAACTCTCTGATTTGAACGGTTAAATTATATAACATACATACCATACAAAGACCGAGAATGAGAATACTGGTCACTATAACGCAAACAGCAGGATAACAATTACCGTAAACTGAATGTCATATCGGGATGCGTAGTTGTAGATGATGAGAGAACTATTTGGTAAAAAGATAAAATCGGATTGATAAAAGAAACTAGATCCTCTAACTGGATGCGACGATTTCGAACTCTGTTCGCAGCTATGGTAACCGGTCTGCATCTGAATGCTTTAGATCCTCGGTTGCTAGTGGTCAACCAGTTAAGGTTGCTCGGTAGTAACCCAAAGGTTTTACATAAAGGTATATGTAGATTAAACGTGTGCTCAACAGTTCTGATTTCAATGTAATTGAAAACTTTTCTTTGTATTAGAAACAGGGATGAGCTAGCTGCTTTGGCAGTGGTGGCATGTATTAGAGGAAATTGGCAACTCCTGTTGTACAGACAGATTGGTGGGCTCGATGCAAGAGTGACCGTCTCCAGTGATCACAAATGAAGAAAACCAAATCGAACATGGACGAGATGAAAATAAAATACCTCTCTTAAGTCTGAGTCATTAAGGTAAATAAATTCTATCTGTATTTCTTACTATGGCCTCGTTATTTTACAACTCGTGCACCAGCAATCATCATCATCATCATAACCGAGAAATCGTACATTGCTCGACTAATAGGAGCAGAGATATAACTGGATATTATATGAGATATGTTCCATCTGATATAGGGCAATATTATAGTGTAATGAGGTACATGGAGCTAGAAACACAACGCGTAGGGATGAACAGATGTGTTGAAATTCAGGGTAGGTCGCAAATGATCAACCGAAAGCGTTAGGCTCAAAAACAATACTTTCTGTAGATGATGCCAAAATCTGGAACACGGTAACAGAACCAGAGGGCTCTCAAACACTTCAGGAATCACTCAACGCAGCTTATCAATGGTCTAAGGAGAACGACATTGAATTTAATGTTTCTAAAGGCAAAGTCCTATCCCTACGCCACAAGCGGAAATTCTCGTATTTCCTCGGGGACCAGCACCTACCACATACTTCTAGCGAAAAGGACTTACGTATTGTTGTTCACGAGGATTTTAGCTGCTTCAACAACTGTGCTAAGGCTTCGTCTGCTGCTATGAAGAATGTCGGCTCACTTCGGCGAGTCTTTGGCCGGTTTGAATCATCACTATTCCCACGTTTGCTATCAGCGTACATTCCACCCTATACGGAGTACGCCATCCGAGCTTGGAGTCCATGGCTTCAACGTGATCGCAAGATGCTTGAGCGTCCACAAAGGATGGCCACCAAGATGGTCAAGGGATTCCATTACCATTACCTGGCATACGAGGACAGATTGCGATCATTGGGACTATATTCTGCTCAGTACCGCTGAACTCGAGGAGACTTGATTTTGACGTATCAAATACTGAAGAACCCAAACCATCCGTGTCGATCGCTTCTCATGTTATCGAACAATGTACACCTAAGGGGACACCGTTTCAAACTACTGGATTGCCGGCGACAGTCTTTTGCTGTCAGAGTATGCAAATCTTGGAACGCCCTTCCATCTCATGTCGTTTGTGCATCCACTATTGAATCTTTCAAGCAGAGACTCGACGAAACCTTGGCATACCTCACATTCGTACACTAAAGGCAAACGGAAATTCACTGTAGCCTACATTTTCTATCTCCTACCCGGATCTCTATGCGACCCCTTTTTCGATTTGTAACGATTCATCTGTGTAAACATCCTATGGGACAAGAGAAGCACCAGCTTGTAAGCTATTCCCATAATAAAACTTTGACTTTGAGGTTGTTGTACGCATTTACTATCAATAGCTGTCTGTATCTTTCCGTTTGAGTATAGCAATGCATCAATAGAACCACTAATGCACTGGTAGCCTAAAAAATGTAGACAGATGTTCATTTTGAAATCACCTTTGGAACTTTAATCTATCAATCAATCAATCAGTGCACAGATAGATGATCGAGAGTCCGTCAAAAGTAAACTCAAAGTGATATATAATTATATAACCAGGCATCAAGTTGTGTTAGGCAGCATCACTGTCATCAGACTCCATACCATGTCCAAAACAGAGAGGCCTGATGCGATTCGCCTATCCAAATCGCGGGGCTTAGAATATCGGTCCCCATGCGTCCATTTGGAGGTCTTCGTAACTGTGGAGTTCATCACTGCTACCGGCGTTCATCAATCAATAGGTTGTGGTAAAATAATACACTATTACTGCATAAAGTGAATTATCCTTCGGAAGAAAAAAACACAAATCAAAGAGGATTTTGGATCGATTGAAAGAGTTTATTTTTTCCGCATTTCAGGCTGTCTGAAAATGTTTGAAAATGAAAGATCCAAAAGCAATTTTCCCTCAACGTTTTGCTCAAAAACACAAAATAATGGACCACATCATCAACGCATGATGCATTCAGATGAATTAAACCGACAAGCAAATCGCTTTTTGTTCCACGCTATAAAAATTTCGAACTTCCCCTGGTAGTTTTTATTTCCCATCCGAAAGTAACGATTATCTTAGTTTGCTCTTATCGGAAAAAAGATTAAATTTCTTCTCAGTTATCAGTTAATGCATGTATGTATGTCCTCCCACATTACACTTCTGGAATATAGTCATGGCCATTCGTCGTCGAAAACGTACTCAACTTCGAGTTCAAGCCAGCAAGACGACAACCGATCATCCAATTACGCCCGCAGTCCCTCCCACAGAGCCCAAGCCGGTCCGATTGAATCACATCATGTCTAGTGGTACGTTGTTGTTGGAAAAACCAACAACACCAATTGCTGCGGAACGCCGTCGAGATGGTCGGACAAGACCTGTGTTTACTTTAACCAAATCAAATTCTATCCCCGAACAGGATGGAATGATCGGCTCGAATAGAGGCGCAGAAGTCACAGCGACTGCAGTGGGCGATACGGCCTGGAACAGTACAGACAGTATGAACGCACCGTTGTTATGGTACAAGCAAGCTCCTGTCGCAAGTGGAAAGGGTAAATCTCAGACAGTGCACCATACACCTCCTATAGGTGGTGCACAATGGAATCATACAGTCCCATCAAATCTGGTCTTTCACGATACCGGGGAGTATCGTCCCAGTGCTGAGCGTGAGACGAGTACACCACGATCCGGTGGCCGAAGTCCTATGAAACAATCAGGCCGAACTGGGTCCCATGGCCGTACAGGTGCAGCTCCGGGTCCAAGTCCAACACATTCCACACGATTGGGACACACAGGACGAACAGGGAGTGGACGAATCACCGCTGTCAATTCGTACCCGGTTAAGACTTCTGAAACGCCCAGAAAAATGGGAGGTATGTATTACTCGGTAGTGAATTTACTGAAACTAATACCGGAAACTTTTATCTTCTGTAGTGCCTGGTAAGAGATTTCGAAAATTAGTATCGACTTTGTGAAAATGAATCGAAAACAGTATATGAGGGAACATTCTGAAATATGATTTGATCTAGGCAGGGAATGTTTGTGTTAGACTATTCGGTTTTTGACATAGGTAAAAAGCACCGCTGATGATCCTGGATGCGGGTTTCATCCCTTGAAAGATCGCTAATTCCCTACGAGTTAAATGCTTTCGAAATGCGATGCAAATGTTTGTGATGCTGACAAATAACACTGGACAGCCGTTCCATTCCCTGTCCAAATTGATTAAACCATTCGCACTAGGTGATGACTGTCGAATCACGATAGGGACAGAAAAGGTAAGCACTATGTGACGAGTCCCAAACAGGAAGAAACAATTGTCCCGGTGATCTTTTTTATCAATCATGACAAAGACTGGTAGAAAGATGTTTAATACAAAACTGACTCAAGGAAAGCGCCACGGATGTGATCAGCGGCTAATCCAAAACAAATAACTGAGATTATTCGGACATACGCACAAAACGATTTGCAGAAAAGTTGTCTTCTTTTCGGTTTAATTACTCAATCCGAATCATCATCAAAATAGATGCACAGAAGTTTCGACATGTAAAGGTGAACAGGTGAAAAATAAAACACAATTGCATTTACGATACCTATGGGGTACGAGGAGGGCTGATTTATACAGTGAGACTAGAGTGCACCGGTGTTTCAGTCAGCGTCTTCATCATTAGACATTTATAACTGAGCTAAATTTGCAATCGCATCAATCTGATAAATGTTACCGCAACTGGTGATACAATACGGTGACTGGACTGTGTTCATCTATGCGAGAAAGGCCAGAACTAAGGTAGACATGTGAGGGTTGATAAATGTTATTATTATTATTATGAGGACTGCATAAATATTATTCTATTGGATAACTGGGGCTTAGACTCTTGTACCTATTACTAAGCCCTCAGGTCAACAGGGAATGGAACAAACACAACTGATGATCATTCCTTAGAATTTCAAAAATCGAAGAATTTTACAGAACAGTGAATTAGGATTGCCAGAACACACTAGCATAAGTTAATGCGTGAATTTCGTCGGAGTTTTGTTTTAATCGTGATTTCCGATCGCTTGATAAGATGAACGTTTGACAGGGAGTTGTAATCTACATCAGATCGAATTCCGTTTGCGTTCCTCAAGGTAATACAAACTTCAACTTTGTGAAGTAGCGTCCACTCTGCTTGATCTGTACATTTGGATTTAGATAAATCCATCTCTCTTTGTACTACCGTTCCGTGGGCATCAGATATGCGGCGCAATGTTTAGTCAGAGTTGATAATAGTCTCTTATCTTACAGGACATATCGGTTTCTGTCATTCAACCCGATTTATCATGTTTCATTTAAATGATCCTCCCATTTCTGTATTCAATTGACTTAACACAAACTGAGGGGTTACGGTATCGAACTAATGACATGTTGATCGGTTTGCGAACAATAATTGGTCAAGATGGGAATGAAGAGAAAGGGAAAAAGCAATGGTCCCGAAAATTCTGTCACAAACCAAGGTCACTGCAGAAATACATAATTCACAATAAACATTTCACAGTGAGCGAATACACATCATCATTGACCAAGTTCTTAAATTGTAATGAAATTCTGATCATCTACTTCTCCTCCAGTTGATACGCCACAGCAACTTCTTGTAAATTTCTGATCAAACTCCCCAAAACAGAAAGACTTTGGGTCGATAGAAACGGTATCCTTTTGAACAGATCATGTCGTGAAATACCAATATGATTTCTATTCGCATTTTACTCAGTCACTCGTGAGTACTGGTGTGGGATAATTGTTTTTGGTTTGAACTGACTATTTGTCGAACTTCGCTTTCACGCACAATTAATTATCAGTTCATTCAACAACCATACACTCCGAAGCACTGGACTCAAATATCGCTCTTATTAGAGCTCATCAGCAATGCATATTCACGTTCCTCTCCATGCTTTTAACTCCGAACCTATCTCCATGGAACACGTGTGTGAAAAAGGGACCTAAGAACATGAATTGGCATCCGGTTCAGCTATGGTATGAGCTGGATGGCACATGCGTTTTTATGCATTGAGTTCGGTGCTCACAGGCAGGACAGGACGGTGAATATGCACTACTGATGAGCTCTAATAAAAGTGAAACTAGGGTCTAATAAGTGCCTCTAAGTGTATGTTTGACTGGAACAGCTGACGACTGTGCGTGATAGTGAAAATTGAAGGATAGTCAACTGAAACCAATAGAAATCAGTTCGATTAAAGGTATTTTTCCAACACTATGGTGTTGAAATTCGGTCAAACCTGATGTTCCAATCTTCCTCGTGCTAGGTTTTATTGATGTCTGAGCAGGCGAAACAGCTCTTGTACATCTGAGACACATTACATTCCTAATACTCATTCTCATGCAGGTTCTAGTTCGCCAAGGGATGAAAGTCACTGGATTTCGGGAACACGGGTGAATCCGATAACTGGCGTGGAACCCGGTGCATTCAGTCGAAAATTCCGTCCGGACACAAAGCTAGACAGTCAACTACGCCCGGATATCCGGATGATTCAACAAAGCTCGGCTGATCAACATTTGCCCAGTTGTCGTTTGATAAGTCGAACTCAATCATGGGGAGGTGGATTACGTCTGGCGGGGACAGAACCGTTTTGTGATGGCGAGTGGGAAGTAACTCATTCCAATGATAATCACCAAATACCGGATTTGGCTATACCAAGTGAAATAACCGGGTATAGGAAATCCGGTCTCACTGGTGCTCAAACTCGCCTGATCGATGAAAGATTAGTTCCATGTGTGATGGATACAGGACGTCAGTTTAGGGGTGTACCAGTTTATAGATGTCGAGAAATGGAATCACCTGTCATAACCAGTGTACCCGGTCGTCCTTTTCCAAGCCAACGCACAGCAATACACGTCAGTATGCCGAATGTGAACGGTGTTTTTAGTGCTCGCGGTCCAGCTACAATTATGCCTTCATGGGATGATCGATCCGGGGTCCGACTGACAGCTATTTCGAGCAAACGAGATTTCAAACCACCGTCGGCTAAACGTCCACGAATCGCATCAAGTCGACCGGAAACACGAGAAATGGAACAGTGGATTGCAACCAGCTACGGCACGGACACGGAAGATGATTTTTCTGCTGGTGCGGTCATGCTGGAAGAATGCACAACTGTGCCCAGTGATCCTATGAAACCACCGAGTGCCACAGCCTCATCCAGTAGCACAACTACACACGGAAGTCAAGCAATGGCAGCCGAGTTGATCACTTTACGATCGATTAAAGGCGAAGCCCAGAACGCCAGATTGATTATACAACCACCTGGTACGCGCCGAACAGATGGCACTGGCTCACACATGTCCCCATATTTGTCAAACGGGGCGCAGGGTTTACCCGTATTGAGCTCACCGCAGACAAGTAGTGTATCGGAGGTTTCCACTGACGACGGTTCTCTTGAACCATCGAACGGACAAGGTATTGATCACAGTGAAAGCGAGGGTTTGTATCATATATCAAAAAGTAAGACTTGCCTCTTCCATAATTTCAACTGTTTTATATTCAAATACAAATGAGGTATCCTATGGGAATATGGTTGACAATCAATTTTGTATCGAATAATTGGCGATCGCTATACGTAGGACGTTCACCAAAATTATCCAAATTGTTATAAAGCACTTCTGAAAAGAATTACACAAGACGTAGATGAATGCAGTTAAAGTCATTCCTTGACGAAACAGCGATATACACAATCGCAATTCAGACCTATAAAGTGGTATCACTCTGACTCATAAATGCTGATGTATTCAAACGCAAATAACAAGCTATTTTAGTGAGTGTAACCGAGCACATTTACATGCAGAATGAATGAGAGGCTTGTAATTGGATGTGACCCATGATTAGCTACCTTCGTTTATGTGAATAAAAATGACGGACACTCATTGACGTCCGGCATAAACGATACAAAACGCACAGTACATAGAGTGGTAACGGAATGTGCAAGAAGCAGACAGCGAGATAATCTGTTCCATGAAATGACATGCACGTGGAGGTATGGTTGGTGAAGTGATCTCAGGCGTGTGTGNAAGGAGATTGAACCGGCCCACACCGGACAGCATCTTACCACTTTAGCGGCACGATGAATTTGTTGCCGGTCACTCGAGCAACAGGAAAAGAGGTCACCGGTTAACAGTATGTAAAACTCGTAGTAAAATGCAGACTTAATCGGACAGGAACTGTTTCATTTACTTGTGGCTAGTTATTAATTGAGAGCCACCAGGTCGAAACAGCTGTCCAGTACTTTCCAGCTTTTCAGCTCACACTTCATTTACACAACGAAATTGTCATATGAACAAAGCGAATTTATTGTACTCAAAAGAATAGAAATCTATTCACCATTGTGCAAAATACGCAATTGGCTATTAGGTAAACAATAGTAAGTTTGCTCTTGGCAAACTGTCGGCCGAATCTCCCAACCACATGTGTTCCAAATGCTCTTTGTTCACTGATTGGTCCAATTCACCGGAATTTCTAATGACAACCGTGTTGTACCTTCACCACAGGGGATTTCGCTCAACATGCGAATATAGATTAAGCCAGTCTAATTCATTACCTGATCACTGCCAAATTTAGGTGCGAAAGATATGATTGTTTTCCAAAATTTCACGATGATTACCTATTCAGAAATATGCATTAAAATATTCAGAGTGAAAAAGATTCATGAAACATCGTGTTCTGTACTTAAATTTCTTTCGGGTGTCTTATTTTTGTGGGTTTCATTTGCATTTCAGATTCCCAACAAGGGTATAGCACGGATTCCGAACGCTCATCACCCCAAGTGATATTATTTCCGGCCCCGGAACTCCCACTTGACCCCACTTCTTTAGCCTACCGACCGGTAATCCGACGCGTAGGCGGTGGTTCACCCTTAGACACGTCGAAACCGACAGGCACACCTGTGTATCGAACAATCACGGACACAGGTCGGCCAGTTCCTTCGCATCATTATCACCACCCACAACCACCACCAACACAACCACCAGCACCAGCACCACAACCACGAACTTCTCGAGCCCCGAGTGGATCCAGTGTAGATCGTGAACCGATGAAATCTTATGTATACGAATATGAAGCCTGAGCATTTCCCTGGACCTCTGTCAAAGCGCCAACAGGGACAAAGAGAGCAAAACACAACAACAATGTCTTCTAATCCAAGTGCCTGTATCTGTTCTTCTTTTTGTGCGCGGTTTCTTTGTTTCCGAGCCGTATACCCCCCATACCTAAACTTCAGCCTTCGCTACACATACCGATAAAACTATTCTTGCGTACGTACACACACAACCACAGATAGAACAAAAACAGTTTCACCTCAAATGCATCCCATTCACTATTTAGTCTTAAATCTCTCTTTTAGTCTATTCGTTGGCACGTAAATCTAAGTTGTATGTGCATAGAAATGCGTCGAGTCAACCGATCACCAATCCATCAATCAACCAAGTGCACCTATTGTCTATAGAAATGTTTTGGTGTATTTCTGCCTGAAATCCTTCACAGTAGTAGTATCTGTGACTTTCACGACACCATGGAGCTCAACATCTAAGTCGACAGAAAGGTTCACACCGGTCTATGAATGAATTCATGAATAGATGAACACATGCACACACACACACAATTATGCATTGACTCACAGCGTTTTCAGGTCCAAAACGCCATAGCTTGCCTTAGTTCTTCCATGGCACCAATGGATTCCACAAAACGAAAGTCCTCCTTCACAGTGCACCGCTCTGGAATAGCTCCACCTCCCGCCAGAGAATAGCCCGTGTCTTGGAGGCCAACGAACAGTGGAACGCAGTTATCGCATCCAGAAATATTCGTGCTCACCGGCGGGCGTTCAGCATCGGAATCATTGGTGCCCGCCTTTATTGCTCTTCCCCAGTGCCATCCGTCAATCCCATACCCTGAATCGAAACTGTCCATCTCTCAATCCTGATTCCGACGAAGTTTGAGAACAGAAACCAAAAAATAGATGTCTAAAGACTGAATTTTATTAGCCAAGATGATCTTCTGCTCGAAATCTCTCAAACCGTCTCACTCAGTCACCCAACCATCCTCGAACCCCACCCACTTCAGCGAGACAAGTGACAACCCTGGGTTCACAGTAGGACATACTCATTTGATCAAACTGTGAACAGTCATTTGTGAATCTGTCCGTGTACAAATCGATCGTTAGGCATAAAACCAAGGCTTTATCAGTAGTTCATTCTCCCCAAGCATCAAGCCGGAATCTTAGACACAGAAAATTAACTCGCCTGTTTTGTTAAATCAGCAATTATGCGCCAATCAATTCCCCGCACCATCCGATTATGCGTCGAACCGGAGGGTTGGCAATTGTCGTCTGACTTTCCGAGACAAATACAACGCACGCACGCACGCACACACACACACACACACACACACACGCACACACAGAGAACGAGTGGAACCCGTCTCGTCCGATTTCAACCTTTCACTCTCTGCCCAACAGGATGATCAACTATTGATGATGATGACGGCTTTCTTTTTTCACAATTACAGGCTAACGAAAAAATAATCATTGATGATTAACTCGTATTTTTGTTCAGTAGATGAAGGGTTGTGGCACGGGACCACGTGATCAAGTTGTGCATCCTGCTGTTAGTTCCGTTTTGAATGTTCAGGTGTCCACAGGAAACAAAACTAGGACGGATAAGGGGCTATCTAGATTGTTGGCACTTCGGTGGTGGCTGTGAACAGTGTAAACTATGTTGCACTATTCACGCTGGTTCGATATCACATCTTTCGCACAGTGTAACCACTTTGCGCAATCGGAACATGCGCATTTCAGCAGACACCGGATCTGTGTAATTTTGGTCTTGTGATGCATGCGTTTAATCTCCATATTCTGGACAGCTTATTACGAAATGATGACATCCGAAAGCTAATAAAGAGCATGGGATAGTTGTTTCGTCGATTTAAGGCCAAATCAGTACCACCACCCGGAACGACGAACTACCTGATTGGGAGCTAAAATCTGGCAATCTGAGCTACACGACTGTCGACCAATAATAGAATGTGCATCTACATATGAACGCAAACGCTTCCTAAAACATTTTTTACCACATTATCAAAATGTGTGAAGTAAATGAACTTCGGAGCAGTGAAACACATCTGATTTGGAACGAGTCATCAGAATTCACATAGGATAGCTGACGGAACGGTCCAGTATTAGATGCACACTCTTGTAGTTACCATACCCAACAGCAGTAATTCGCTCCGACAGGTCTTGTCCAATTTTTACCGTTGAAAGTAACCGTCAATCGCATCCTCTTGCGAACTACTCACAAGTGTGAGTAGCACCTCACAACACTAGGATCCCCAAATCTCGTGTTGGATTCGCAGTAAAGGCTAACTACAAAAGAATTCATTTCAATTCACACGCTTGGTGACCTCCCTGCATCAGAGTCCTCACTTTGAAGGTCAACAAAAAAATTGACATGGTTTCAGAAACTGTAATCAATTTAGTGAGTGCCATTTAGCAACGAGTGTAGGCGTGGAGCAATTAAATTATCTGACGGAATGTTACAGGTCAGAAGTACGGGCAAAAGGAGAGAGTTGGATATAGAAGACAAAGAGCTAAACAACGGTTGCGATATCTCAATGGTAGCCCACTTATCCCTACCTACTCCACTCGATACAAATGGCAGCACGGTTTGTCAGTCCTGCAGTATGAAGTTTGGAATTCTGTATGGTTTTTATGCATTGGAGTTTGATGAGCGAGTACTGCCAGGGTGTCCAGGAACTAAGCAGGTGATCCATGGAGGTTCCCAACCAAGAACCTTTTGTTATTATGAAAACCGGAGCACAACGCAGTGGATGAACGGAAGTGGAAACACATTTTCTTAGATCGATTGTTCATCCGTTAATTTCACTGATTCAGTCAAAATTCTAACCTAGAGGACCAGGGGGCTGGATATTTTCTCACTTCTAACTTCGGGCTTGATAAAAAGCAATCTTGTATATTATTTTGCGTCATAAAGGCGCACAAACTGTCACATTACGTCACTGGGCAGCCTGTCCGTGAGAAACAAACGGGAATGACAACAGCATTGTGCAAATATTATTTGATCGATGCGCTTCGCACAAACCGACGACTGGCAGGAGCCCGGTGAAAATCGCACTTCACAACAGACGGAAAAACTTTCAGCAAATTATGAAATCTATTATCTGAAAATTGTGTGTACAAGGATAAATAACACGCCTGTGTGTGTGTTAAATTACGTGTAGCCACAAAGCGGGCCTAGTAAGTAAGCAGGAACACGGCAAGAAATTCTTCTCCAGGGTCTCTGGAACTAGATGGCTCTCAGAGGGCGAATGCCCAACAAGCGGAGGCATATGGCCAGTACATTCCGCGAAGCGACGAAGACGGACAGACGTAACTAAAAAAGACGAAATCGGATAGCAACTTGAACAATTTCACATGGAAGAAATGAAACATCACAACAAAAACAACCCTGAGCACTAACATAAGGACCTGTAAGCAATGCGTCAGTTTTTTTCTAACTTTAAGCTGTCTAAAATTGTACGGAAAAAACATTTACCCAGGGCTCCTTGCCCGCAATAATGCACAAAATTTTATCACCAATGTAATTAAATTGAACAACCAAGGAACATCGTCATGGAAGACTACTGAGATACAGTAGTTGTGATTATATTGCGAAAACCTCCAAAAGCCCCAGTATAGTCGGGGGTGTCATGGGTTGTGGCTAATAACCCTGCCCTTGCACCTTTTGAAATACTCCTATAGGACCAAGCGTCTCTTACGGGAAGCCCTACTTACTGCCAGCGAACAACACACTGAACCGAAACCCAAAGGCCTTGTATGACAGGTGCTAGAAACTCCCACACGAGTGCTTCGATCACGCTCCCGTGTTAGATCTACGCCCCACAGCCTTGTGGGTCAGACTCAAGTCAAAGGCTCCGGTTCGGTTCCCAAAGAAAAACCGCGAAGCATGTCGTGCCCTCAAGTCTTAGGCACTCATTTGGAAAAACTTCTTCCCGATCGACCTAGTTTTTCCTTTCAATCCTAAATAGTCCCTGTTTGCTTAGCCGCGTTCAATGTCCGCACACTCTATCAAGCATTTCTGACTAGCTTGAGTGCTAGTGTAGCCATGTTCTGTATGCGTTTTGCACCTCCAAAGTGTAAAATGTTACAAAAGACTGAGCTGGTCCAGCAACCAGAATCACTCTAAATGGGGTTGTAAAAGAGCACTCATTTGGGCAGCGACATTTCACCCGGTGGACGAATCACAGATGAATTGGCAGCTAGCATAAAGAAGGATTGGTTGACATTTACCAACTTGAGACATCTGAGGCGCCGTCGTGACATCCAGCTGTCTCTTAAGGGTCCAATGTTTGTCGCGGCAGTTCGGCCAGTTCTGTTCGACGGAACAAGGATAAAGATA